TCTTCTTCTTCTTCTTCTTCTTCTTCTTCTTCTTCTTTCTCTCTCCTCTGGTCTCTATCTCTTTGCAAGTGCTTTCATTTCTTTCGCAATTGGGTGGCATTGTCTTTCATTGTGGATTTACACTTTGGAAATGACCAGGATCGTAACATTAGTATCATTCCTATTAATAGCAGATGTGAGACCGGGTATAGGCCTGGAAGTTGAAACAGTGCACTTAATTTTGGAGCTGATTAGGTTGATAGCGACACCTGGAATGGGGGGATGGGAGGAAGTAGGAGTTGGAGTGGATCCATGATTGCCATAGTTTTCTCTTTTAAAGTTTTCTGCATTACTTCTGTACTTGAAGCTGGTTAATGGCTTTGGCATTCTCAAAAACATGATCAAAACTCGATGAAATCTCTTTATAAGGGACGCTAGGCCCAATTCCCGGCACGTGCTTCTCCCCTAGAAGATTGGAGCTTTAAAAAAGAAAAAAAAAGAAAAAAAAAGAAAAAAAAAACTGTGTGGGGGTTCATAGACCAGGCCCAACAGTTGTGGTCCCAGGGACAAAAAAGTTGAAAACAGAACAAAACAAAAAAAAAAACTTACCACCTAGAAACCAGTCCTACTCTACAAAATCCCAGAAACTCTATGGTATAGTAGCTGGTTTTTTTTTTCCGGAAACAGGGCGTGTGATATTAATGGAGGTGGTATGAGCATCCCCCATTAGTAGCCCACCCTTGGCGGCTGTCTATTGGTGGGGAGTAGCACCTGCTGGGAACCGGGTCCATACAGTAGCCACAGTCTTCCCCCGAATACAACGCACGGTCAGTATAGCCGTATTTGGTGCAATTTTGTCAGTCCAGATACAGCTATAATGACCGGGCGTTCTATTCGGGTGAAGACGGTAGTAGTTTCGGAAACTGATAACAAGCCTGCTGCAAGCTGCCAGATCTGACCTTTGAACTGGCTAAAATTTTCCAAGGCCTGGTTGAAACAACTTGCGTGCCGGAGATTTCTGACTATGTCCTGTTTCATTTGTATATGTTTATTATGCTTATCTGACCTTCTGAGTCTGTTAGATGGGTTTCTTGGAGACAAATTATATCTTGCAGTTTTCTATTGAACTAGTGTATTGCAGCTGTTAAGCTAGTAAACCGTTTGTCAGGGACGTCAGGATTATGGCCAGGTCCTGCACACTCCAGGATCGAATGTCAATTGCTCCGCTGATTTTTCTTTCCTTGCTTGTTTGCCGTGTCTTGAATCGGCGAAAGCAGTGATGCAGTACGGTAGCGGCATCCACACCTATGTTTGGAGGCAGGAAAGCCACCAAGTTGGCACCAACTGATCAAGAGGAACTCAGGAAGCGCTTAGCTGAACAAGGGCCATGGCTACAAATCCTATGCTTCTCCGGTTGGTTTTCAGCAGCAATCTCCTCTTCCTCCCTCTCCTCTTCGTCTTCATCACGCCCATGTGTGTGGGGTGCAATGCCATTGAGAATCATTATGCCATAGAAATGAGCAATCGTCGGGAGCTTCAAGAGCAGCGAAGCTCGCTGAAGATAGTTCACGAAGGAATCTTTACGTATCTTGGAGACATCCTCTCTTCAAGCGACCGATCTCCTAACACCAGCGTTCTTATCGATGCAATGGTGCTTTCATTAGATGAAAGGACTGTCTACTATGTTGAGAAAACAGAGACGATGGTCAACTCCACGCGAAGTCAAACTTCGGTTGTTAAGAAGGCAGAGCGATTGCTGAACCTGAGTCAGGGGGTGGACTATAACATCTCATATGTTGCGGGACCGTGGCTAAATGCAACGAATAACAAATCAACCATTGTGCAAGGCCTGTTGATGCTTGACTCCGTCCATTTGATTATTTCAGATAAGCTGAACTCGCTCTTGCGCAGGTTTGATGTCACTCAAGGGAAACAGGTGGGATCTAGGGAGATGCTATTTCCCCTGCAAATGGCCAAGCACCCGACGCAGGAAGCCTTCTTCGTGTCATCGAGTGACCGCATCATAAAGGTCCCTTTAACGCGACCGGAGGAGTGGAACGAATTTATCGTCATTTCCGGTCCAGCCGACCTTCAGAAAGGAGATTTCGTAGATAGTCAGAATAAGTCTGAGGTTCGGTTTTGCGCTCCTCATATAGGGCCGCAAGCTGTTTCGCAAGATGGAGGACTCATGTACGTCGCCGACTACTGGAACAATGCAGTTCGACAGGTCGATCTCCTTCGAGGGGCCACGGACACAATTTCTGCCAGTGGACCCAAGAATACTGGCCTTATTCCCGAAGGGGGATTCCAAAACCCCAACGGTGTGGTTTTGACTGCCGACGGGTGCAACCTGTTCGTGTCTGATCGAAACAGTGGAAGAATCCATTGGCTAAAATTTGACAAACCCGGGGGGAACGTAACAGAGCTCAAGACAGTTGCAGTTTTACTGAAGCCGAACGGATCTCCAGAGCTGATTACGTCTCCGTGCCTTTCAAAAGATGAGCAATACTTGTTCTTCGGCAGCGGGGATGGTCAGATCCTAAAACTTCAGCTGAACATCACTGCTGTTCACGGATGCGCAATGGCACCACCACCTGGAGGTAAAACCCGAACTTCCCACGGTGACAATCTCGGGCTGGTCTTGCAGATATCGTTAGGAGTACTAGGCTTTCTCATCGGTGCACTGGCATGCACGTTCTGCGTTTGCTTTTGCTTCCGAAGGCACTCGAGACTGACAGTGCGTCAAAAAGACCGTACTAGAAATACCAGCACAAACACTCCACAAGGCACAGGTAGCAGTGACCAGAAGAGTCTTTCTACTAGTACGTCGTCGCATGGCTTAAGTACTCACAAGTTTTCTGAATCATCATCGGAGTCAGCAACGAACGTTATCAGGGAGTTTCCGCTGTCGGTGGTGCAAGCAGCAGTCGAGAAAGGGACTTGCTTGACTGGGAAGGGGGGGGGATATGGCGATGTGTACAGAGCATCACTGGAGGTGGGAAGGAAGACCGTCGACGTTGCCATTAAGGTAATGAGAGGGGAATTAAACGAGATCAAACACAGGCAATTCAGGGCAGAACTGAATGCTCTCTCCAATGTGCGTCATAAGAACCTGTGCAAATTGTTGGGGTTCTGCGCCGAGGAGGGGAAGTGTATTCTCGTCTACCCGTTCATCGAAGGTGGCTCCCTCCATGATCGCTTGCATGACCATCGCAGACAGCCTAAACCGTCGTCGGATGAGCAAGGAAAGGAGACCTCCGATGAGAGACTTCCCCCCCCCGATTGGCAGGAGCGGATGCTGATCGCCAAACAAATCGCAACTTGTTTGCGTTATCTGCACTCTGAATTGGAGCAGCCCATTGTACACCGCGACGTCAAGTGTAGGAATATCCTAGTCCAGGGGAGGGGAAAGTCGGTCCAGGCGTTTCTGTGCGACTTCGGACTTGCTAAACCGAGGACCGAGGACGAGTATGATGGCCATACTTTCACTGGCAATACAACCGTGGACACGCTGACAACGGCTGGCACTCCTGGCTACATGCCTCCAGAATATATCTTTGAGTCAAGACTTACGATGTCCAGTGATGTTTTCGCTTTTGGTGTGGTACTGCTCGAACTTGTCACAGGACAGTTGCCGATTTCTCGACTAGAGGACGGCAGTGTCGTGCTGCTCAGCAGATGCGCGAGGCAATCGGCAGCCGACACATTGATAGATTCAAGCATACAAAGCTCCTTAACGCCTAGTGAGGGGAAGATGGCGAGTGATGTCATGAAGCTCGGTCTCCAGTGCACAGACGAGCTGGCAAGGAAGAGACCTTCCATGAAGGATGTAGTGTTTGAACTCGAAGTCATCATGAAAAGCCATTGAAAGGAATTGTCCGGAAAGAGAGAGTGTGCTCTCCGATGCGGACAGGTTGAGCGGGTGAATGGTGGGCTACTTTGCGTCGAAAAGGCCTTACCTGAAGGAAAGTGCGCAAAACCTGACGTCATTTATGAAGGCATTTGGAAGGCACTCACATGCCTGATAGATAATATGCTTCCGAAGGCGAACAAGTCCTTGAGAGCAGGTGCTTGGAGGACCTTACGGGCAAAAGGGCCCCCAGGGCCTCATCACGGAGGAAATAGTGTGCTATGAACTAACCCAAATCGTTACAATCGCATTTCAAGCAACTCGCCTGATAGATATATTATTAGATAGATTATATAATAGTTCCCTAGTAGGCAAACACGTTTCATTGAGCAATGAACTAAGAACATCCTTGGTTGCTCATGGCGTGCCGTGAAGGTGTCCGTCATTATTATTTTCTATTGTTTTTAAGGGTGTGGCAGCACTCTAGCCCCTAACGTGACTACATTCGGCTCAGTCAATGAGGGCTGAAAAGCGTGAGCTGTTTACTGAGAGTCGGCTCAGTCGGGGAGTCCTTCCTTAGACGAATCTGACACAATTTTTATTTTCCTCTCTTTTTTACTTCCCCTTTTCAACGGATTGAGCAGCTGACAGAAAATTTTGATAAGCTGGTTATGTGTGCTCAACCCACGGTAATAAGACCTCACTGCACTACTCACCAAATGTACAATATGAGAACGAGTCTTCCGCTAGAATATGGAAAGATGCACCATCGTTTTTGTCTTTTCCCCATTTGGTGAGTAGTGCGGTGAGGCCCATTCTTTAGTAAAAGGCGGAAAAAAATAGTACGCCATCTGAGCTGGGCGCGCACATGGAAAAAGCAAATCCATGGTCAAAATTTTTGAAGTTAATTTGCACACTACAGAATTGTTGAGGTGTCTGCTAAATGCTAGGAGGATGTAGACACCTCCTTGCAAGCACAAAGGGGCGGCATTGTTGCTGAGGCTCTTCTAATGGATTGTTGCGCCCATCAGATTGGCCAATTGTTGCCGCCGAGATACTGAGAATCTGGACTGGATGACGACCATTGGATCGCCAGCAGGTGTGAAGCCAATAATGGATTGTTGGGGACGGTGAGGTTGGCCAGTTGTTGCTGTTAAGATACTGAGAATCTGGACTGGATGATGACCATTGGATCACCAGCAGATGTGAAGCCAATGTGACAGTCCAGCAAGCAGATCTGCACAGGCTGTTCTTTTTTCTTTTTTTTTTTTTACAACAGGCTGTTCTTTTTACATTGCCTTCAAGTTGACAGTGTGGGTTATCTCCCTGTTTATTTATTTAAAATTTTAAATTATTTTTTTAAGGGAAAGAAAAAGGGCAACGGCCTTGGGATTTCCTCATCAGTCCAACGAACTCAGGTCTGCATTTCAACAGCTCATGGGTTTACCAACTGAGCTAGGGCTCTTGGTCTGCATGTTTTCTCACTTTCAAGTTTAAAGCTTAAGGTTTAAACTTTAAGGTGGTTGTTTAGATTTGCAGCCCGTGCGATCGTCTCAGGCAGTTCGATTTTATTCATTGCAGACCCGCTCCGACAGTTCTTTCTTATTCATTGCCTTGTGGGTTATCCCCCTCCCTTCATTTTACGGCGGGTTCAAAAAAAGTTTGCCCACGGTGAAGTCATAAAGGCTATCAGGGTCCCCTGGGCCGTAACGTGGAGTAGCGTCCCAGGGAGAGCTGTATCTCAGGTAGTTTTCTGATGTGCAGGTGGAATAGGAACTGGACTAGCTGAGGGACAGAAGGGGCCATATAAAGGGGACGGCTCAGGAGGATCCAGAGGGGTCAGAGCAGAGGTACATCCTCCGCTCCGGTGCACGAGAGAGCACACAATGCCACTGACGCAGGGTCCCTCAGCCATAATGAAGGGAAGCGCTGTGTGGGTCATTGATGAAAGGCCCAGTAAGGGACACTGGACCCACTTTCCAGCATATATATAATTAAAGCTAACTTAGCTAAGCCCTTTCCTAAGTATCCTTAGGAAAAAAAAAAAAAAAAAGATTTAAGGACAAGGAACCGGACTGATGCTTCCCAGAATTGACGGGGAGCCCTGCCCGTACTAAGAAGTTGGTAAGAACCTGGTTTTTTTTTTTTTTTTTTTTTTTTTTTCTTAAACGGGCCATGTGCCCAAAGCTGATATTACGAATAAGAAGATCGAGGCTGGGGTCCTCACAGTCTACCCGGAGTGACCGAACCGAATTTGCTGAGAACCGGGCTCGGCGTCCCTCATATCATGATAATGATGATGATAATGATGATGATGATGATGATGATGATGATGATGATGAACTTCTTCTGATTCTATGTAAACTGTGATCATACTAATCATGATGATGAAAAAATATAGAAGACCAAGTTATATCAGCAATTCTGGCCTCCTAATCCTAAAACAACTCCTAGCCCTCCCTGTACCAGGACATTACATCTNTTTTTTTTTTTTTTTTTTTTTTTTTTTTTTTTTTTTTTAATTGAAGGTGTGGTGTTCAGGTAACCAGCCAATGTGATTTGCGATGGCTGTCCTCTATAGGTCGTCTTGCAGTTCTCACCGTCAAATGCGAACACCTCAAAATAGGGTCCTGACTCCTGACTGTTCTGGGTCCAAGTCCCACTAGCAGCATTCAGTTTCCTCAATGCCTGAATTTGGATGCCTTTGTGGAGAAGTCCAGTTGATGAAACTCAACGTGATTTCTGCACATCTCCTGAAACACGTCCAGTTTCAGGCGTTGAGGAAACTCAAATGCTGCCAGTGGGATTTGGCCCCTGGATATTGGAAAGGGGGGGATCAGTGATGACCTGACCAAACACGGACTGAGACACACAGCTGATTTCTGAGTTTTGCTCATGGACTGAATGCCTTGCTGAGTTTTCCGCTTGCCACCGAGTTCTCTAAGTCTGTGTGTGTGCACGCTTGCTGGTCTGCATGTCTGTCTGAGTGCTTGTTGGCTTCAGTGTGTGTGTGACCCACAAGGGCACTTGTTCGTTCATTGGGCCCGCAGGGCCAGTACTTACCTGTGGCCGTGGCATTGAGGATTGCAGTGGGGAAAACGCTGAAGTGGCGAGGAAAGAGGCCCGCGACACTTGAAGCAGCGGGAATACAGCAGGTAGGCCAGTACCACACCCTTATGAGGTAGATGTGCTGGGTACTCGAGGCCGAGCAGAAGAAGACAAAAGTTGGCATTTTTAGAGGCCCGGTAGTTATAGGCTAGGTCTAGGCGGGTACCAGTCCAACCAGTCTGAGTCTACGGCCTGTACGGGCAATATCAGAGTCTGCAATGATGTTTCCCTCCGGAAGGGAGGAGGTACGGGTTGCTTGGAAGGCCGAGCGGCCTGGAAGTCACCGCCCAAGAGGCAAGCAGGTCGCTATATCTTCAGGCCGAGCAAGGAGCCCGGTCTCATTGTTGGTGTGCAAGTTTGGCGACACACGGGTTGGACTGCTGGCTGGAGCAGTGCTAGCTTGGAGCAGCGCTGCTGGGGAAGGAGCAAGGACACGGAGGAGGAGGAAGACCAGGAGGAAGGGGAGCGCCAGAGGTACTTACCTGGCTATGGTGGATGCCATCTTCATCACCTTGGTGGGCGCTGTTGCAGGAAGACCCCACGGGGACAGAGCTAGACCAAGAAGCTTTGAGGCAGAGTCAGGCATGGCAGCCTGAGCCAGAGCAGCCATAGCTCTTGGGTGTTGTCTTTTGAACAGCAGGGCCAGGCCCTGGTAGTCCGCCATAGGCTCAGCCTATGAGAGTGAAGACCTCAAGTGATACCTGCAGTAGAAGAGGGATTCGGACATTGATTCTGGTTCAGCCATTCAACATTGTATTATTATTTCTTGTGTGAATAAGAGAGGAGGATATAAGGAGGAGGACAGTGTTTGGCGAAGAAGAAGAGCATTGTCATTTGTCTATGCTGGTGTACATCATCTTCTTCTTCTTTCTTTCTTCTTCTTCTTCTTCTTCTTACCCTTTCTCTCCTCTCAAGTTCATTCATTTCTTTTTGCAATTGGACAGCATTGTTGAACGTTTATTTCAAAATTGGCCCGGATCATAACAGATTGCAGAAAGAACAAATTGTGCCAAGGGCGGTGCGAGAAAAGTGGTGCTGCCGGGCAGGGAGATTCTGAAAAAAAGGTCTGACAGTGTGCAGTTTCTCCCAGGAAAAGAATATCCACACAGTTGGCTGAAGGTGTAAAGAATCTTCCTGCACTTTCTCCGACGTGCAGTTTGCCCCGCAAGGGACAAAGAATCGTCCTGCAGTTTCTCCGACATGAAGTTTCTCCGCACACTTTGCTGCAGCGTCGAGGAATCTTCCTGGAGTTTTCCCGCACAGTTCACCGCAGGGACAAGGAATCTTCGTGCAGCTTCTCCACTGGATCTGTGCCACTTCATTGCAGGGAGAATGAATCTTCCTGCAGTTATCGAGTAAAATCCCATAGCCGTGCAGGGCAGCAGGCCGGAAGGCACAGTGAATACAACTGCATAGCTGCACAGGGGAATAAGACCCCATACCCGTGGAGGAGGGGATCGAGATAAGGGAGTGGCAGTTTTTTTTCCTGGAATGAAATTCCATAATAGCTGTACAGGGGACCAAGTCCCAGGGGCCTCAGTTGTCGGCAATACAACTGCAACGGCAGAGCTGTGGCAGGGCGAACCAGGGCAGGAAACCCGGGGGAGAGTGGTTTTGTGCAGATTATCACTGCATATTAATCACTCTCGCCGGCCTTGCCCCCCCTCACAGCGGCCCCTTGGACCTGGCCCAGGGGCAAAGCAGTGCATTGGAGCGAGGCAGGGCAGCGCAATCTTCTGGAGAACAGCCAGCTAGCTGTATTAGTGGGACGAAGAGATTACATTTTTCTGTTTAAAGAATGTAAAGATGTAGTCTCTGTGATAGTAAAGCCTAATGAGTATAGTACCGTATACCCAACAGCCTAGCTCAGTGGGTACACCCATGAACTGTTGAAACTTGAAATACAGACCTGTGTTCGAATCCAGATGATGGAACTCGATGAGTAAAACCAACTACTAATGAATTGC